ACTGGGAAGACAGAACCCACTTCAACAGGAAGGAATGACACAGGATGGCCATGTAAAACACTTATATTCTCATCAAGATGGCAATGTAAATTCATTTGATGGGGTCCCACACTATCATCCCCACTCCCATTTGAAACACATGACAATGATCGATGAAATATATTTTTTTAAAAAAAGAGTAAAATTAACAAGTGAATCTCAGTAAAAAAAAAAAAAAAAAAAAAAAAAAAAAAAAAAAAAAAAAAAAAAAAAAAAGACAGACATCCCCATGAACCAGCAACCACAGAAACTCTAAGCGATGCACAGATTTGTAGCCACAGGCAAAGGTGTCTGGAGGTCAACTTCAAACAGTACAAGTCCTCCCACTGGACATAAAGGCAGATGGAAAGGTGTGCTTGCTGCCTGAAACCACGACTTCAACTGAGCTAGCAGCCTTGATTGCACACCACTTGCTTCATCAGAGTGCTGTAATGTCTCCAGTAGCTCATTACATGCAAACACTACTGCTTCCTTTCCAAAGGTTCCCTTCCAGATTGCCCCTGACTTACAGAGGCAGGCAGCAGGTCTCCCTGCATACTCTCCTTCTGAGCCTTCTGAACTCTCTCTCACCTCTGTGCTTTCTTCCAATCCACTTCGTATTTATAGACTGTCTTTACACAATATCCCTTCTGTGATTTAACATGTCTTAATAATTCCACCTTTTTTAAAGGAAGCCTTTCCCAATTATTTACACCTTGATATGTATTTACCTCCAAATCCTTGTAAACCATCTCTTTATATGGCACTAACTTGTAGAAAGTAGCAGTGAAGTTACTTAATTCTCAGAATGAACCATACAAATTACAACCTACCTTCTATAGCCAGAGACAGAAAGAGAACATAAACAAAAGTAATGCAGTTCATTATTCATTCATATTTACTATGCAAAATGAAAGTTTTATGGAGCTTTGAATAATATATATTTGTTCTATTATATAGGCAACTAATCCTCTGTAGACGGTAATGTATCTGTAATAACACCCTCCCTAATCTAGAATTTTTGGACACAAGAAGGTATTAAAACCTCCTCTGTGGGAGGTATAGGACTACGGTCCCCGATGGGCTTTCTCACTGCAGGACAACTAGATTTGCAATCAGTGGCAGCAAATGTAATTCTCAAAACACATCTGGGCTTCAGAGGACACTGGGAACCTAACAAAAGACTTAAAAAATGGAAGAAAAAGACTTAAAAAAAGAAAAGAAGGAAGGTGAGAGAAGAAAAGTCAGTCAAAACCTGATCTGTAAGCCACAAGCTCAAGAGAAACAATTTGAGATACTGGAGAACTAATGCCAATTCTACTACAGGATCTCTGGATCCCTGTGCCTTCCATACTCCAGTTCCCACCACACCTTAAGTTTGAGGAAATGAATTTGAGATTCCATTTATAAACCAGGATCCTCAAATGGAGCCAAAGTGGTCCCAACCAAGAACACTCCCAGCCTCCTGGCAAAAGAAAAATAAACCTTCCAGAAAAACACAGGCTTGAAACAGATTAAATTGTTCAATTAAATCTGATTTCAAAATCCTACCACAAAAGTATGCAAGAAAAGAAGCCATGTTGAGAGACAGCAGATTTAGACAACTGAAGACTTTAAATATTGGAATGATCAGATACAGAATATGAAATGTTACATTGTTAAATGTTCAAGAAAACAAAAGAGGTCTAGAAAGGAACAAGTATCAAAAGTCTATCAAAAGCAACCAGCCACACATGAGCACCAAACTTAAGTTAAAAACATGAAAAAAAAATTGTGATTTAAAACACAATAGAATGGTTCAGCAGATGAGACCAAGAAACTGCCTGGAATGCAGCACAAGGAGGCTGGGAAAGAGGGTGAAAGCATGCTGGAGACGCATGGAGGAGAGAGCAAGAGTTTTAAATAAGAATCCTGGGAAGTACACCAGGAGGACAGAAAAGAGTCAACATTTGATCAGAGACAGCAGCTATTTTACAGAAATGATACACGATCTGAATCCGGAAATAGAGGAAACACACAGACACCAAGCAAGACAAGAGATCTTCCAGTAGACATTCTGTGGCGAAGCTGCAGGACACCAAAGAGTAACAAAAAGACTTTAAGAGAAGCCAGAGAGAAAAGGCATTTCAAGCAACAAGTAGACAGGGAACAGAGTTTAAGGCTGCTGCAATGGTAACCAGAAGCTAACAAAATGGTATCTGTAAAGGGTGACACAAGTACTTTTATTTGTCGCTACTGCTAATACTGTGTCTAAAATACCTAACAACCGAAGACAATGAAGATCAATACGGAGTAGATAAAATTGAAAGAATTATGACCCTCAAAAGAAGGGTCACACTAATAAATTTTAAAACTCTGGTGATCAGAAATTCTTAGAATTCCTCAAATTCTTTTTTTAAAGCTTACTTAGTTATTTTGAGAGAGAGAGAGTGCAAGCAGGGGAGGGACAGAGAGACAGGGAAAAAGAGAATCCCAAGCAGGCTCAGGATGCCAGCACAGAGCCTGATGTGGGGTTTGAACCTATGAACCATGAGATCATGACCTGAGCCCAAGTCAGATGCTTAACTGACTGAGCCACTGAGGCGCCCCTAGAATTTCTCAAATTCTTAAAAAAATATATATAATTTGCCAAACCTGAATCAAGAAAAAATAGAAAACCTGAAAAATCCTAAAATGATTAAAGAAACTGAACGAGTGGTTAAAATCTTCCCACTAAAAACAAAACAAAAAAGCACCAGTGTCAGATGGTTGTTACAGGAACGACTAAAAAACATTCCAGGAGCACATCATTCCAATCTTATGCAAACTATTTTATATAACAGAAAAAGAAATACTTGACACCAGGTTCTATAGGATCATTCAAAAACAATGTGAGGAAAAGGAAATTTAGGCCAACCTCAAGTTTTGAACATAGATCCAAAAATGGCAACAAAGTATGAGCCTCCCCCAAATTCAGAACTGCAATTTACTACATTAATATTCATGAAGGATCATCACATGGTTATCTCAGTGAATGCAGAAAAAAAAAATAGAAGTGAACTTAATCTGATAAAGAGTTATCTACCAAAACTTTAAAGAAAACATTGTCCTGAATAATGAAACATTAATAAAACTCTCTTTGAATCAGAAGCAGGATGACCATCTTTATCATGTCTATTTACCAAGGGACTGGAGGGCTGGGTTGGCACCGTAAGACAAGAAAACAGACTAACTGGCAAGCTTGTCATTATTCACAACCAGACAGTCCACCAAGAAAACAACAACAACAAAAAAAAATCTGTAAACAAAATGTTGAAATTAAATAAATCATGCATGTTCACTTAATCCAGCAGTGGGAATGGAATGAACTTGAACAAAGTTCAAAAACATGGATAAATCTCAGAAATAATGCTGAGTGTAAAAGGCAAGCCACAGATGATTATGTCCCATGTGAGACCATTTTTATTACACTCAAAACCAAACAAAACACAATGCATTGTTTAGGGATACAAATACTTGTGGTAAAACCATTTTCAAAAAAGAAAGGGAAAAGCATAATGCAAGGGAGCGGCTGCCTCCAGAGCAGAGAAAGAACAGGATCAAGGAGAAGCACCCAAGTACCTTCTACTTCTTAAAATGTTGGAGGGGGAGGGAGTCAAGAGAATGAGCTTTATCACCATGCTTCAAAACTTGCATTTATGTTATAGATGCTTTAGTAAATATATTAAATGCTACATGTATAAGATAATTAACGGAATAGTTCAAACAAATGATGGTCAGTAAATACATATTTAAGTGACATACTTAATCGAAGCTCCTGTTAAAAAAACTCCTCTGCACAGGTTTCATTCACAGGAGGGTTACCACAGAAAATACATAAAATGCAGTTATTATTACTCTGGGGAAGGAGTACAGCCCTTAAAGGAGAAAATGAGGAACCACAGTTACTGACTGCCAGTCACAAGCCAAATACTGGGTGGGAGAGGTTTTCAGATCTGTTTTATTTCATAAATCCACAAACCCAAAAAGTCCATGGAAGCCTTCTCCCCTGGCCTCCCCCTCCAGCCAGCTCTGCAACAAATATGTCCTTTAGAGTCATAAAGTTGACCTCACACCAAGCTAAGCACATGTTTCTGAAAGTTAATTGTTGGTTATCTAGAAATTATTCATGATTTGAAGAGACATGTGCTTAGGTTACATGTGCTTACAATTTTTTTCTAGTATAGGTCCCAAGTTATCAGTAACCTAGCCACTTGTCTAATACATGTAGACAAGAATGACTTTAAGCTTAATAGGTCAAGAACTACACCCAAATATTGTTTCAACTTTTAAAAGAATATATGATCCAGGGTGCCTGGGTGGCTCAGTTTGTTAAATATCCAACCATGATTTCAGCCCAGGTCATGGTTTGTGAGATCAAGCCCCACGTCCAGCTCTGTGCTTGACAGCACGGAACCTACTTGGGATTCTCTCTCCCTCTCTCTGCCCCTCCTCAGCTGGTGTGCACTCTCTCTCTCTCCCAAAAATAAACAAACTTAAAAAAAAAAAAAGAATATATGATCAACACACATTGACACACAGACACATACAAACATTGCAATCTCACTAGTGGTCAGAAAAATATATTAAAAAGAATAAGTTTTTGCATGTCAGTTTGCGTATATTTAAAAAAAACTATCACCAGTGTTGGCTGGGGAAACACACACATGACTTCAACATAAGTTTACATATAACTTTACATGACTTTTTGAAAAGCAATTTGACAATATCAGTATTTGAAATGTGTATACATTTCTATCTAATAATTTCACATCTAGGTAACCATATAGGAAAAATTCTCTCACGTTTCCAAAAAAAAAAAATTCTTTACAGCAATGTTTGTAAAAGAGGAAGGAAAGAAATACATGCCCATCACTTTTTTATGTCTTCAAATGAAATTAAGATCTACAATATCATATTTTCAGCAAAAATCTTAAAAGCTAAATGAATTAACAAAAACTTACTTCAAAAAGAAAGAGGATGGAGTCCAGCTCCTCCCTTTGTGACTTATTATTCCCTGGAATACATAAAAAAATTAGTTATCATGACAATGTATAAATTTTAGGATATTAAAAATTATGTTACCTTAAAAACATTTAAACTTCAACATACATTCATTTATTCAAAAACTACAAGGAGGCAGTGTGGAACCCACGTCAGGCATGTAGACAGACACCAAGCCAGACCACCCGAGCCCACATCTAGCAGAGTTTCTCCTCGCTAACTGTTTAAACACAGCTTCCATATTTTCTAGGTCACTATCAACCCATGGAAGGCAATTTATTCATTTCTCAATTAGTTACTTCTGAGTTCAAGTTATGATGGACTACACAGCAAAAGCAAAGAAAGAATTCTCATTTTTTTTATATGAAGGGGCATAGAGAAGTCATAACTATAAAAAGTCATGTATCTCTTTAGGCAATTGCACACTGTCCTCTTGATAATAACTAAATAATAAAAACTAAAAACCTATAGCAGCAGTTTCCATTTATTGCCCAGTCTCTAAGTAGTGAGACCTGTGCTAAGTGTTTGGCATTCAGCATCTAACTTGGAAAACTGTTTCTGTAAAGGGCTGATAGTAAATATTTTAGGCTTTGCAACCTGTCTTGCAAGCATTCAACTCTGCCATGATGGGGCAAAAAGAGCCATGGATAACACATGAATGAACTGGGTATGGCTGTGTCCAAAAAATTATTTATAAAAACAGGCACTGAGCTGTAAGTTGTGGACCCCTGAGGTAACTGAATCCCCACAGCTCTGTGAAGTAAGATACTATTCATTCATTGAACAAATACTAAAGAATGGCTCTATGTCATTCTAAGGATTCTTCTAGGACCTGAGGATGCAGGTGAACAGAACACGACAATCCTTGCCCTGAGGAAGCTTACATTCTGACAGGAGGAGGCATCCAACAAATCCAAAAAAATAAGAGGGAAGGCAGATGGGAATGTCAAAAGACATGGTATGCAATTTTGACTAGGGAAGTCAGGGAACATGGTGCTGATAAGATGACATCTGAGCAAAGATCTGAAAGAAGAAAGGGAAGAAGCCACATGGAAATCTGGAGGTAAGCAAACAAGCCATATGGAAATTTGGGAGAAATGTGTTCCAGGCAGAGGGACTGGACAATGCAAAGTCCTTATGTCTGAACAAGTATGGCATGGTTAGGAAACAGTAAGAAGGCCCTTATGTCTGGAGTGAAGGGGGAGAACTGCATCAGGTGAGGTTAGAAAGCAGTAGGATAAAGGCAGGCAGGTAGGGTCTGAGGCCATTGTAATGACTTCCAGAATTGAGAAGCCATTTAAGGGTTCAGAGTGCTGAGTCATGATCTGACCCATTTTTAAAGCATCATTCCAGCTGCTCTTCCAAAGAGACTCTCAGGGGGGTGCAGGGCGCAAAGGTGGAAAGGGAAAGACCATTTCTGGGGCATGCAATAATCCAGGTGAGCATAATGGGAACACTGGCATTACCAGCCCAGGCAGTGAGAAAAAGCCAATGATTCTGGATGTATTTTGAAGGTAGAGCCAATAAACTCAGGTTTTGGCCTGAATAACTGGAAGGCTGGTTATCACAAGATGATTTCATCATTTATAGCAAACATCTTCCTTCATTCTGTTGTTTTGGTATACTTTCTTCCTAGTACTCCAATCAAAACACAGATTGTATTAACAGCAAGAAACTGCAAAATCTCACCCTATTTTTGTTGGTTCTTTACTATGATTCTTTGTAGTAGACTGCAAGAATGAAGTTTTTCCTCTCCTATCAAGAGATACCTATTTCTCTATATGTTGCATCTGAGATGTCACATAGCTTGCTCTGGCCAATGTGACATTAGCAACTGGGAGGTAGCAAGTACAACCTTAAAAAGCCTTTTGCACTTGCTGAGCTTACAATCCTAAGGCCAGCATGTAAAGAGCTCAAGATAGCCTGCTAACATGGAGAACTAAGACGCCCTGGTCAATAGCTTGCCAACTACAAGACATGTAAATGAGGCCATCCACTACTAGCTGATGTTAAGAGGCATGAGCCAGCCTAAACGTGAAGAATTGCTCAACAAACACAGAAAATTATAAGCTAAATGAGTCATTTTAAAGCACTTAGTCTTGGGATGGTTTATAATGTAATTTGTTATGCAGCACAAACTAACTGATACAGTCTTGAGCAATGAGATTTTTCTAAAAGGACAAAGAAAGCAAAGGGGGAAAAGGAGGCACAGAGGAGCCTTTAAAATGGGGCTTGGACCCTTTCTTAATAAAAACCCTTGAGAAAGTCGGGATAGAAGGAACATACTTAAAGATCATAAAAGCCATTTATGAAAACCCACAGCTAACATCATCTCTCAGGGAAAAACTGAGACTTTCTCCTGAGATCAGGAACGACAGGGATGCCCACTTCTCGCTGTTGTTTAACATAATAGTGCTGAAGTTAGCATCAGCAATCAGACAACAAAAGGAAATCAAAGGCATCAAATTGGCAAAGTGAAGGGTCAAGCTTTAAACTTTTGCAGATGACATGATAATATACATGGAAAATCCGAAACTCCACCAAGCTGTAGAACTGATACATGAATTCAGCAAAGTTCAGGATACAAAATCAATGTACAGAAATCAGTTGCATTCTTATACACTAACAATGAAGCAACAGAAAGACAAATAAAGAAACTGATCCCATTCACAATGGTGCACCAAAGCATAAATACCTGGAATAAATCTAACCAAAGATGTAAAGGATACTTGGAGAAAACTATAGAAAGTTTATGAAGAGTATGAAGAAGATTTAAAGAAATGGAAAGACATTCCCTGCTCAGGATTGGAAGAATATAATATTGTCAAAATGTCAATACTACCCAAACTATCTACATTCAATGCAATCCCAATCAAAATTGCACCAGCATTCTTCTGCCAAACTAGAACAAGCAATCCTAAGAACATAATGGAACCACAAAGGCCCCGAATAGCCAAGTAATTTTGAAGAAAGAAGACCAAAGCAGGAGCATCACAATCCCAGACTTTAGCCTCTACTACAAAGCTGTCATCACAAGACATGCTGTGACACAAAAACAGACACATAGACCAATGAATAGAATAGAAACCCCAAGAACTAGACCCACAAACGTATGGCCAACTCATCTTTGACAAAGCAAGGAAAAGAACATCCAATAGAAAAGAGACAGTCTCTTTAACAAATGGTACTGGGAGAACTGGACAGCAAACATGCAGAAGGAAGAAACTGAGACCACTTTCTCACACCATTCACAAAAATAAACTCAAAATGGATAAAGGACCTGAATGTGAGAAAGGAACCATCAAAACCTTGGGAGAAGCAGGAAAAACCTCTCGACCTCAGCGTAGGCTTAATCTCTTCCTCGACCACATCCCCAAACGAGAAGGATTAAAAGCAAAGTGAATTACTGGGACCTTATGAGATAAAAGCTCTGCACAGCAAAGAAACAACCAATCAAAACAAAAGGCAACCACGGAATGGAAAAGATCTTTGCAAATGACATCATCGGACAAGGGCACGTATCCAAAATCTAAAGGCTCACCAAACTCCACACCCAATAAAAGCAAATTGATCGGAAGAAATGGGGAAAAGCATGAATAGACACTTCTTAAAGAAGACATCGGATGGCCAGCAGGCACTGAAAGATGTTCAGCGTCGCTCCCTTATCAGGAAATACAAAATCAAACCACACTCAGGTATCACCTCACGCCAGTCAGTAGGCCAAAATGAACAAATCAGGAGACTATAGATGCTGGAGAGGATGTGGAGAAGACGGGAACCCTCTTGCACTGTTGGGAGGAAGCAAATGGTGCAGCGCTCTTTGGAAAGCAGTGTGGAGGTTCTCAAATTAAAATAGACCTACCCTATGACCCAGCAATAGCACTGCTTTGAGGAATTTTATCCAAAGGGACACAGGAGTACTGATGCATAGGGGCACTTATTGTACCCCAATGTTCTAGCAGAGTCTCAACAATAGCCATATGGAAAGAGCCTAAATGTCCATCAGCTGATGAATGGATAAAGAATTTGGTTTTATATACACAATGGATTACTACGTGGCAATGAAATAAAATGAAATATGGCCTTTTGTAGCTTAAACGTGGATGGCGGAGAGGTGATGCTAGGAAGTGAAATAAGCCATACAGAAAAGATCAGATACCATATGGTTTCACTCTTATGTGGATCCTGAAACTTAAGAAAACCCATGGGGGAGGGAACAAAAAAAAAAAAGAGGTTGAGAGTGGGAGGCCAAGCATAAGGAGACTGTTGAGAACTGAGAACAAACTAAGGGTTGATGGGGGGTGGGAGGAGGAGAGGGGTGGGTGATGGGTATTGAGGAGGGCACCTTTTGGGATGAGCACTGGGTGTTGTATGGAGTAATTTGATAAATTTCATATATAAATAAAAAATAAATAAATAAAAAAATAATAATAAAATGGGGCTTGGGGTGCCTGGGTGACTCAGTCGTCTGACATCAGCTCAGGGAATGATCTCACGGTTTGTGAGTTCGAGCCCTGCATCGGGCTCTGTGCTAACAGCTCAGAGCGCGACGCGGGGCTTGAACTCACGGACCGTGAGATCATGACCTGAGCCGAAGTTGGACGCCCAACCGACCAAGCCACCCAGGCGCCCCTCTTTGGTGTTTTGATTACCCATAATATCATACTTTTCTCCTCCACACAACTGCAAAAAAAAGTTAAGTAGAGCAAAACTGGAAAACAAGTTAAAAATCAAATCGTTTCATATTTGAAATATCTACCAATTTGGAAAAAAATTAAGCTCAAGATTTATATCAATTTGTAAATCACAGGGGAAAAAACTGAGCAATTCATTGAAAAACAAAATACAAAACTACCTGTTGGCATCCTTGGACACATGCCCATATTTGATTTGTTGACCTTCCAGAACCTGGAGCATTCTGTAAAACTCTGAGGCATCTGCTATATGTCAGAGACAACCACAGTGCATTGTCCCACATTCCTTCCCCTCTGTGCCTAACATCTGCCTCAGGTTTTACAGAAGCAGTCAGGGCATCTATACACTCCTCTCTGCGTCCTCTTCTGTATACCTGACCCTGTCTCAACACACGTCCCCCAATACCCTGTCATCAGTTATCTCCCTCTTGTCAGCCTGCAAACAGGCAAGTGCATCCTTCAAAACCCTACCATGACCAAGCTACTCCTTGAGATACGATCCTGTCTTCATCATCAAACAGATGAAGTAAACCCTTCTAAAAGGGTATTCTTGTGCATAGCCTTCACTATCTCACCCTGTTACTCCATTTCTCCCCATCTGGCTTCTGATCCCACTACTCACCTAGACCTTTCTTTCAGCACTCAGGGACAACCTCCTCGATGCATTGCCACTTCCTAGTCCTACTGCTCAACTTTTTGCATCGTCAGACATTGCTGACATTTCATTCCCTGAAATTCTCTTTTCTCTGCGCTTCCGTGACAAAACACTTTCCTGGCACCCAACCCCCTTCCCAGCCCACACACTACTTTATCTTTCCTCTTTATCTGCTCAATGAAAGAATGGATTACCCCAAATCCCTGATTGTCACTTTCTCTGCAAAGAATTTCTTCCTTGGCAACAGCATGATTGCCCCCTCTTCTCCTAAGCTCCAGTCCCTATATTTTTACTGTCCAGCCAGAACCAACACCTGGGTGTCCCACAGGCACCTCAACTGAGACTTCCCAAAGCTACACTCATCCTCCTCCTTCCCAAACCTGGCTTCCCTCCAGGGTTCCCACTGCTGTCATGGAAGCTTACAAACCAGACTCAACATTCTGAAAGCATATATGTACCCCTATGCCTACTGCAGTATTACTTACAAGAGTTAAGGTATGGAAGCAACCCAAGTGTCCATCAAAAGAGGATGCAGTGGTGTGTGTGTGTGTGTGTGTGTGTGTGTGTGTGTGTGTGTGTGTATCTCTGTGTGTGTATCTGTGTGTGTATTTTGCAACAACATGGATGTATCTAGAGAATATAATGCTTAGCAAAGTAAGTCAGACAGAGAAAGACAAACACCGTATGATTTCACTCATATGTGGAATCTAAAAAACAGAACAAATGAGTAAACAAGCAAATAAAAAGCAGTATCAAACTATAGATGCAGAGAACAAACTGATGGTTGCAAGAGGGGAGGTGGTGGAGGGAGAGATGTGCAAAATTGGTGAAGGGAAATGGGAGGTACAGGCTTCCAGGTGTGGAATGAGTAAGTCACAGGGATGAAAGGCATAGCATAATGAATACAGTCACTGGTACTATTAACAGTGCTGCACGGTGGCAGGTAGTAGCTACACTTGTGGTGAACCTAGCACAACGTATACATCTGAAACTAATATAATGTGTGTCAACTATACTCAAATTAAAAAAACACTTGTTTAATAAATAAATGAAACTGAGGTAGCAATAAGGGTGTTAACATGTAAGGATTTCCAAAATACATGAAAATAAACAAGGTGATGATGGCAGCCAACACTTACTGAGCATATACTATGTGTCACACTCTGTCCTGAAATCCCAGATACATGTTAACCTGTTCAGTGCTGATAGGAAGTAAGCTGAGTCAGAGGGAGGTTGCCCAAGGAGAAACAGCTGGAAAGGTAGGGCCAGGATCCAAACCCAGGCTGGATCCCCAGACTACACTATCCTGTCACCTAAATAGAGAGCGGATTGTGCAGTGTGACTTTATTGGCTTGGTTTTTCAAAGAATATTTTATGTAAGTAGATATTGGTATAACCATAAACCGATATAACACATTAATAACATATACAGAAAGAAATACATGAAACTTTTAATGGTGGTTGCATGCAGAGCAGGACTGGGGGTCTAGGAAAAACATATGGTTCAATTTTCATTTCAAACTCTTTAATGGAATCTGAATTTTTTTATAATGTGCACATATTACTTTTATTTTTTCTTTTTAAGTAAATTATTCCTGTGGAACTTATGACTTCTGTGGGTTACTTCTTCCATTTTCCCTTTAGTCATCTGTTGTTCAAATAACAGCTGCATAAGTGAAAGCTCAAGGGAAACAAAGATGCTAACCACTGCAATCTCCCACCAACTTGTGGCTCACGACACATACAACCTTTTACACTTTATGGACATTAACAACAACAAAAAAAAACTTTGTATATAAAAAAATTGTTTGGTAGAAATGCTTACCTTTTAATTTCAAACTATTTTCCAGTGTTATAAAATTTTCATAGAAGATGAAATATATCTGAGAATAGTTGGTCTCAAAAAACTGCTTAAGATCACTTGCATCCACATTATCTGAAAAGAAAAAGTTTCCACAAGGAAAGGTTATGACGATAACCTTATACAACTATCAGATCTCACAAACAACCTTTTCAGAAATGAAGGACAGTAAAAACTAGCTTTATCCCCCTATGAGACAAAACAGAACAACGAAAATAGTATCCCTATCCATTTGTTCTCCACTAAGAGACCTTAATAGGTCTGGGGCCCCTCCCCCACACACAGACGCTTGCAGGAGATTGATTCAAGGGCATCAGAGCCATGGCGGCACTGCACTCACAGACCAGCTAGAAGGCCAGCGGTGAGTGCAGGTCTGGAGAGGAACAAGATTCCTTCATGTTGAGGGTAAGGAATAATAGTTCATACAGAGGACGTGGCTTTTGACATAGGCCATAAAGAGGGATGAGTTTGTACACATGAAAAACAATTTTGCTGCCCGAGTCCAACATGGGCCAGTTTCTCCTCCATCCCCACTGACCTGAGAGCAGCTCAGGAGAACTAGCAGATGTTCCCCAGCACACTTCCACTTGGGCCACTGGTTGCAGCCTTCTCTCTCACTCCCAGGTGACCCGTTCCACTCCCGCTTGGACACAGGGAGACCCACCATGTGTTCCTAGAGTTTCCCTTAGCAGTGTTTTTCCCTGTGCACTAGTTCTGCTAAACCAGGGACTGCAGCTATATAGGAAGGTTATGCAGGGAGCTTAGCCCAATGACACGACAGCAGCAACAGAGCCACTTCTTCCAGAGGCCCAACTGTGCCTCCCAACTCTGGTCAGAGCAGTGATCCACTGTCGACACACCTGTGTATGTTTTCCTTGGCAAACAAGGTGCTTGTGCCATTTACCACAGGGTCCTGAACAAAGTGTTAGCTCTTGGGAAGAATACACCAGTAAATCTTGGGAAAATTAAAAACAGTTTCTTTAAATTCTGCAAGGATTATCCAAGATTGCTATTCAATCTACAACAAAGTGGATTCAGTTCCTTTTGGGGTCCTAATACTGTGAATATATGTGAACACATCCATTACGATGTTTCAGTTCTATAAATTTAGCACTAATGCTGGTGAATCTAAGGAGTTGTTGTACTCAGATAACTACATAATTCTGATATAGTTCTTCAAAATAATGCACATAAGGTGTTTGTAAAGTCATATGAGCTGTCAATTTCATACTGTATTTTCTGCCCCCCCCCCAAATAGCACAGAGCAGTGGAAGTTCCTAGTAACTAACAAATTTACCTATGTGAAAGCAGTAGCAATGACACTAGTATGATCATTCTTATACGTGACATAATCTTGCCAAGGAACCCTTGAGTACCTTCCACAGAATGTGCAATTCCCAGAAAGGATTCTGTTCATTTTCGCTCCAATACAAACTGCTGGCCGACCCACCACTAACTGTTCCCTCTGAAGCACACTTCACCCGCCAGCTCCTATTAGCACTCACTGGTAGCTGAAACATCCCGAGCCCACCTGGAGACCAGGTCAGTGCCTCTGCTATTGCCCCACAGGCTGGTTCTCCCCAAGTCATAAAACATATACTCTACTTAATTCCTGATGGAATCCCTCCTGATGGAATTCTTGACTTTATTTTGAAGGAATGATCTGTCTTTTCTGTTAGAGATACTACCAAATCTACAGACCCCCAGTCCATCCCACGCATCACTATGTCCCCTACATATAGCACCGTATTTATTTAGTTCAATATTTTCTTGAATGAGTTAAATAAAAGAAATAGCCTATAACATACAATGATAGGATAATGACCATAACATGTAAACCATTATATCATATGTCTACAGGAAAGGAATGGCCTAACCCACTTTTAAATCCCTGGTACTATCAAGAGAGAGATTTCACCCCTGTGCTGAGGACTCCAGATTTCACCCTGCAAGCTCTGCCCTCCAAGCCTGCTGCCAGCTGGGTTTCTCCACGTGAGGGTCTACAAGGCTCCTGAAATCAAACATGTCCAAATAAAAGTATTGTTCTCCCCTCAAATTCTGTTCCTCCCTCAGGCCCCACCACCCACCCAGCTGCTTGTCATCCAGGTCCTTCTCACTCTTCACAGCACATCTCTGGTGTGTCAGCTCCACCTCTGTCATGCGCCAGCTCTGGGCACTTCTCGCCCTTCACGGCCCTGCCTAGCTTATGTCACCACGAATCCTCGCCTACCTGCAACATGCCCTCTGCCCAGAGTCTGGCTTCCACTTTTCCCCTCCACAGTCCATCCTCCACCATGCAGTTAGCAGAAAAACTTAACAATGTAAATCAAACCAGGCCATTCCTTTGCTCAAAACCTCCCAGTAGCATCCAATCGTACTTAATAAAATCCAAACTCTTGACCATGGCCTATAAGGCCCTGCATGGTTTCCTCCATTCAATGCCAACTTCATTTCACACCACTCTGTCCTTCACACCCTACACTCCAGCCACAGAGGCTTCTTTCTATCCCTTAAACTTGTCAAACATGTTCTCCATTTGGGGAACCTCTAGTCTGCACTGCCCCCCCCTCCCAGATCTCTATATGGTTCATTCACTCCCATCCTTCAGAACTGGGATCATACATTACCTCTTCAAAGAAATCTGAAAATGCCCCACATGTCATTCTTCACATGTTATCTTATCACCATGCCTTCTTCCTTCCCAAGTTCTGCAATGGATAGATGCCTGACTACTCACCAGTGAAGGGGCCTCAGACACAGAATGCCATTAGCAAGTGAGCTGTTACCCTGGCATTGAGGATGGGAGTGCACTAATGCAGCAAGGTGGCACAGCAAGGTACTGGGATCGATGACTCCCTCATATTTCCTGGGTCCCCCTTGGTCTATCAGAGATACTCAAATAGAGCAACCTGAATAAAGAGGGTCCTAGTCAAGGTTGAGGAACACTCATACAGACTGAGATCCTCTCATGAAGCCAAAAGTCCAGATAATAGCCACCTTCCTCCTCAGCCATTCATCATCACTTGAAGTACTCACTATCAAGACCATTAGATACCTTTAAGGTAACTTGATACACAAGGAAACCAAGAGCATTACATCTATAACGTATGCAGTTTTATTTATGTATGTGAGGACTCCTCGCTGGCCTGGGAGTCCTCTTCACATGATTCCCCCCACTACAGCACTTAATATTAGTTGAAATTATCTCATTTATTCATTTACTTCTTCACTGACTGGCACTCAACTAGAATGTAAGCTGCATAAGGGCAGGAATCCCATCTGATTTGTTCACCACTCTAGTTCCAGCCCCAGGAATTGAGCTTGGGACCCAGAAGGTACTCAATACATATTTGTTAAATAACTAAAAAAAAATAAGCACTAAATATGTTATATCTCTAATTCAATAGCTAGAAGAATTTACTTGTCTTATTGTTAAAAAGCAAGACTCATCAGATGAGTATTTATAAAATAAGCCTAGATCTTGGAGAAGGAAACCACAGGTACTGGAATTTAGCATCCTGCAAAAAGGAACACAAGAAAGCAAGAAAGGGCTATATTTTTAAAGTTTATTTATATATTCTGAGAGAGAGAGAGAGATCACATGAGCAGGGGAGGGGCAGAGAGAGAATCCCAACCAGGCTCCCCACTGTCAGCACGGAGTCTGACATGGGACTCAAACCCACAAACCATGAGATCAAGACCTGAGCCAAAACCAACAGTTGGATGCAGAACTGACTGAGCCACCCAGGTGCCTCAAGGAAGGGCTGCTTTTCAATACGACCAACTCCAAGAAGCATAGAGAGAAGGAGAAAGACTTTGTTCAGAAAAAATAAATGAACAACAATAACAAAAAAAAAAAAAAAAAAAAAAAAAACAACTATGACCAGAAACATCCGTTAGACAGACATTCATTCTTTACCCATTCATTCAAACATTACTGAGCCGGTACCCAGGCCGACCAGCCTTGAGACAAGTGCTAGGAAATTCAAAGAGAGTAAGATGCAGGGCTCTCAAGGGTACAGAAGTAAACAAACAAGTAATGCAAAAGGCAGCATGACCAAAGCTAATGAAGAGCATCAAAGCAGGGGACAAGGCCACTTGAGGAGGTTGAGAATATTAATAATGCCATATATTCATGCTTTAAAAGACACTTTAAAGAATTTCGTTTATTTGACCCTCACCCATAACCCTGTGAGGGAGATGGGGCAGGTGTGATCAAGATAAAGAAACCACAGGCTCTGGATCTTACATAACCTGCCCAAGGCAACACAGCCAATCAGGGATGTGGGCAGAACTCCTGTCCAGGTCTTCCAACTCCAATCTGAACCACACAGAGGCCTCAGAGACAAGAGGGAATAAATTAAAACTAGAAATCAGGTCAGGAATGTATAAAAATAATCATCACCTTGGGGATTTGCAGGAAAGCCAGATAAAAAAGAGCAGGAAGATAAGCAGACAGGTGAGAAATAATGGGAGTGAGCAGCACTGAAAATGGGAACAGCCAATTTCCCCAAGAAGGAGCCACAGCACTTGGGGTGACCAGTAAGGAAGGGTGCTGAACTATAGAGCTCAGGTGGTAGTGTGCTTTTGAGGTGATGATTTTCACTGTCTTTGGCACAGACATGAGCACATGGCCTAACGATAATAACAAAGCTCAGGGAAGTATGTTCAGACTAAACACAGAGAGGCAAGCAGCAGACAGCTTTACAGAGCTAGAGGGGTCATTTCTGAATTTTTAAAGAAATCCTTAACTTCTCATTCTCCTTTGCAACCAACCAAGAGCCAATAAACTGTTTCTATTATTTTCTCATTTTATCTCAAAAGTATTCTTCTATAATCCATACCAAAAGCTACCCCCTCCCACTCCTCTGTCCAGCTGAAACCTCTTGTTGACAATTCTTTCTCCCTATCTAGCTGAAAGGCAATAGCAAAGGTTGAGGTCAAAAACCTCCAGAGCAGACTGCCTGGGTAAAGTCCAGAAGCTATAGGACCTTGGATAAGTTATTAAGCACTCTCTGCCTCAATTTCAATCTCAGAAATGGGGTCAACAATGGTTCCTATATCACGGGACTGCTGTGGTGATAAAATGGGCATGTCAGAGTGTCATTTGGCATTATATAAATGTTAATTGTTTTACAATTACCTAGCTCCTGACAAAGGCTATCTCACTAGGTGGGAATAACCAGCTTCATTTACCTGTGAAGCCATAAAACTCAATGACTCATGAAACTCATACACTTAATGAGACTGGCCCTTATTAAATGGCACTTGATTCCAATACAGCAATAAGCACTACCCATAAACAAACCTATGAAACCAATGGGATTATCCCTCCATTTCCTTCCACATATAATCCTTTTCAATACCATTTCTACTACTTTTTTTTTTTTCCATTTCTACTACTTTTTAATTGACAGGATCATAATAGAGCCTCACAAAAACCTGCTTCAGCAGACCAAAGGAAGGGGAAAAGATCGTTATCCCACTTGGGAGCCCCAATGGAAACCCTCAAATGGAACAAGGAGCTCAGTTCAGTTCCTCCCTAGGAAGGAATGACCCCCCCCCCACCCAGTGCTTCCTACTCCTCCGTCCCTCCAGTGCCCCCTCCCAGAACTAAGAGTCTTCCAAGTCCTGCCTACACATCCAAGTACAGAGGAAGATGGTATC